AGGGTTAGGGGATCAAGAGCCTCGCAAATATTGAAAAGCCGTGAATGTTTGGTGCCCCAATATATTGTAGGGAAATATATTACAATATTGGCTTCCTTAACTTGTTGAACCATGAATAATCATAAAATACATGAAAACGCCGTAAATTGTACTAAATACAGTGGACCCTCGCATAACGATCACCTCCGAATGCGACCAATTATGTAAGTGTATTTATGTAAGTGCGTTTGTACGTGTATGTTTGGGGGTCTGAAATGGACTAATCTACTTCACAATATTCCTTATGGGAACAAATTCGGTCACTACTGGCACCTGAACATACTTCTGGAGTGAAAAAATATCGTTAACCGGGGGTCCACTGTATATACATGTTATGCTTTAATAACGTATGTTATTTAATAACATGTATGTTATTAAATACCACAGACTCCACCAATGCCTCCACCACTGCGAGTCCCTACTACCCTCCCTCCGACCCCCGCAACTAGCAGCCAGCCCTCCCACCACTCAGTGTGGTGAGTGTTTTGTTTGTTCATTATTTGCTATTAAACTACAGAATAAATAATGTAAACCCATTCATGACTGCATATTGGAATGGCTATTAGGAAAGGTATTAGACGGTGACATCATGTGTTTACTCTTGAACACAGCAAAGAATCGAACATTTCTGCTATTGCTAATAATAATAATAATAATAGTAATAATAATAATAATAGTAATAATAATAATAATAATAATAATAATAATAATAATAATAATAATAATAATAATAATAATAATAAATACGATATAATTGAAGAAGGAAATTGTACAAAAATACGAGGGAGTGGTTGACACATCGTCAGTGTGACTTTGTTTATGCTGGAGTGAACATTAGTCTCCCTGCTCTTCCAAACATTTCACAATAATTCAGCGGTTGAGGTAGTGGTATTTAATAACATATATGTTATAAATAATAATAGTACATGTTATTATTAATAACATGTATTATTATTAACATGTATGTATTTAATAACATATATGTTATAAATAATAATAGTACATATTATTAATAACATGTATTATTATTAACATGTATGTTATTAAATACCATTGCCTCAATCACTGCCTCTACAAGCACCAAACACAATGAATTATTGTGAAATGTTTGGAAGACCAGGGAGACTAATGTTCACTCCAGCATAAACAAAGTCACACTGACGATGTGTCAACCATTCCCTCGTATTTTTGTACAATTTCCTTCTTCAATTATATCATATTTATTATTATTATTATTATTATTATTATTATTATTATTATTATTATTACTATTGTTATTATTAGCTGTAGCAGAAATGTTTAATTCTTTGCTGTGTTCAAGAGTAAACACATGATGTCACCGTCTAATACCTGTCCGAATAGCCATTCCAATATGCAGTCATGAATGGGTTTACATTATTTATACTGTAGTTTAATAGCAAATAATGAACAAACAAAACACTCACCACACTGAGTGGTGGGAGGGCTGGCTGCCAGTTGCGGGGGTCGGAGGGAGGGTAGTAGGGACTCGCAGGTGGCGGGAAACTTAAATATGATTTGGCGGCTGGGAATTTGGTGGCTGGGAATTTGGCGGTTGGGAATTCGCGAATGTGTGAAGCCCGTGAAAGTTGAAAACGTGAATCTTGAGGGAGACCTGTGGAACTTCAAAAATCGAACTGCTCCCAACACGACCAATTATGTAAGTGTATTTTTGTAAGTGCTTTTATAAGTGTATTTTTGAGGGTCTGAAATGGACTAATCTAATTTACATTATTCCTGATGGGAATAAATTCATTCGGTAAAGGCACTCGAACAGCCTTCTGGACCGAAGAAAGTTCGATATTTGAGGTTCCACTGTACATATATGCTTGTACATGTATGTGTAGTGTGACATAAGTGTAAGTAGATGTAGCAAGATGTACCCAAAATCTCGCAACCATGTACATGTACTTGTAGTAAATAAAGATATTATTATTATTATTATTATTATTATTATTATTATTATTATTATTATTTTTCTCTCAGTTGTTTGTTGGGCTATCTTATTGAAACTTGAGCAATGTATGATGAAAAGATGCTTCTTAACATACACCAAAAATGAAAGAAATCAGACCATAAATAACAGAGTTCACTTCTCAGCCATTAGTGGCCCCATAGCGTACATTTTCATATGGTTTTTGTGGTTGTATTCTCATTTTTTTGGTCTCATTTGATAGAATGGAAGATATATTACAGAAATAGACATGATTTTGATTGCTTTCACGATGAAAAGTACCTAGAAATTGAGCTCAAAGTAGTGGAAATGTTCGATTCTTTAGCAAATTATGTCTCTAATACGTGTCCGCCTGCCAGTCCAAATTCCAAAAAGCAGTCAAGAATGGGTTGACATTATTTATTTATTTTTTTTTTTTTTCAACAAACCGGCCGTATCCCACCAAGGCAGGGTGGCCCAAAAAGAAAAACGAAAGTTTCTCTTTTTAAATTTAGTAATTTATACGGGAGAAGGGGTTACTAGCCCCTTGCTCCTGGCATTTTAGTCGCCTCTTACAACACGCATGGCTTACGGAGGAAGAATTCTGTTCCACTTCCCCATGGAGATAAGAGGAAATAAACAACAACAAGAACTAGAAAGAAAATAGAAGAAAACCCAGAGGGATGTGTATATATACATATATATGCTTGTACATGCAAGTGTAGTGTGACCTAAGTGTAAGTAGAAGTAGCAAGACGTACCTGAAATCTTGCATGTTTATGAGACAGAAAAAAAAAGGACACCAGCAATCCTACCATCATGTAAAACAATTACAGGCTTTCGTTTTACACTCACTTGGCAGAACGGTAGTACCTCCCTGGGCGGTTGCTGTCTACAACCTACAATTATTATAATAATGCAATAGTCTGCATAACAGTAAATCTTCTATTTTTTGTGTGAATAAAAATTCCAAATGGTAAGCAAGAGTAATACAAGAGGGGCCTGGAGCTGTGACTAATAAACAGAGAAAATGTTATTTTAGTGAAAGGAATGTCTGCATTGTTTATTCTGGACCCTATTTTGAAATGGCTGAAATTTCTGTGAAATTGGCCAAAATGCCAATTTCTGACCACTTTATTGGGTAGTTGAAATAGGTGACTGGGCGGTTTGTTGTAATCAGTCGACAGAATATGTAGAAGTAAGTAAATAAGTAAGTTTATTCAGGTATACACAAATACAGTTACCTAGATTATCATACATACCAGCATATGTATAGAAAACCTAGGATAACCCAAAAAAAGTCAAAGTGACTTATTTCCAGTACCTGGCTAGGGCTTGCCATATATAATTTTTGGTATTTTTTTTTTCTCAGTTGTTTGTTGGGCTATCTTACTGAAACTTGGGCAATGTATGATGGAAAGATGCTTCTTAACATACACCAAAAATGAAAAAAAAAAAAAAAAAGGGATGATAAATGAGGGAGTTCACTTCTCAGCCATTAGCCACCTCTTTGCAATATATTTTTGTATGGTTTTTATGGGTGTATTCTCGTTTTTCTGGAAGATTTATTACAGAAACAGACATGACTTTGATTGGTTTCACGACGAAAAGTACTTTCAAATTGAGCTCAAAGTAGTGGAAATGTTTGATTTTTGCCGATGTTCAATGAACTTTATGTAAGTCAAGTTGGTTAATTTTATTAAGTGTATTCTAATCTAACCACTCTGTAATCTGGCAAATTCCGTAATCCGGCACACTACAGGTCCCAATGATTCCAGATTTGTGATGGCAGACCTGTATAGGTTTATGACCCGGTGGCTAACGCTCCAGCTGCACACATGGAGGGCCCGGGTTCGATTCCTGGCGGGTGATAACATTTCGACACGTTTCCTTACACCTGTTGTCCTGTTTACCTAGCAGCAAATAGGTACCTGAGTGTTAGTCGACTGGTGTGGGTCGCATCCTGGGGGACAAGATTGAGGACCCCAATGGAAATACATGTAAGTTAGACAGTCCTCGACGACGCACTGACTTTCTTGGGTTATCCTGGGTGGCTAACCCTCCGGGGTTAAAATTCCGAACGAAATCTTATCTTATCTTACCTTATGACACAGTAGAATGTCTTGCCATGCACAATAGGTAAAATGTCATCATTTGCAGAAGAAATTCTTACCTCAGTATTAACCTTGTTATTCTCCCATGTATGATACACAGCACTTGTGAGTAATTTTGAAATATCTATATTCTCGAAGCCCAACCAGAGACCAGACTTCACTGCTGGCTGCATGATCAACCAGGCTCTTTCCCACCAACTTTCTGATCAACCAGGCTGTTTGTGCAGCATTGTTTGAAGGCAGTATTCAGCTTCTTGAAAACTATTTCTGATATTTGCCGGTAGTATGCTAGAAAGTCTTAGACCATGGATGTCTTTTTAACTATACCCATGGCATGTCTGTTCTTTATTGGGTCTATAAGAACATAAAAAAGGAGGAACACTGCAGCAGGCTTACTGGCCCACACTAGGCAAGCCCTTCTCAAACCTAGACCCACTAACAAAAATATTTGCTGAACCCATTTTCAATGATATCTAAGAAATAGGGTACAATAACCCTATAAACTTATGTGCAAATCACACGATCAGTAAGTTATAGCAGGTTAGGGGCCAGGTCTTCAAGTATCTTCCATTCTGCTGTAATTTCAACATTCCATAAGTCTCTTCTTTATCTTTAATTAAAGGCTGTTAAAACCAAAACACATACTCCAAATTAAATTTGTAATGTGGAAAAAGACATTTATGTAGAATTCAGGACATTTATTAGAGGAAATGTTAGAACTGAAGAAGCCACTCATGCCCAAACTTTTCCTCTAATAAATGTCCTGAACTCTACATAAATGTCTTTTTCCACATTACAAGTGTCTTTTTCCACATCTTGTTGGTATCACCATAACATTTCTTTTAAATCTACAATGATTCTCACACACACTGAATTAAAAAGCCCTGAATACGAACCTCTTCATACATCTTCTTTTTATCAGGAGCAGCCGTTGACTTCTTTCGTCTCTTAACTGTAGCAATCTGGTGTCCACCACCAGCCATCTGGTTGAGAGATATCAAAGCAGAACTTGGTGGCTGACCTCCAGCATCCTGGATGTTGAATAAATCCTGAAATAAAAATTAAATAATACAGTGGCCATTTCTCATCAAGGTAGGGAATAAAATATAGTGGTACTTTGGTATACGTCCGCTTTGTAATAAGCCCAACTTGGTATACGTCTTGTTTGGACACGAAAATTTTTGCTTGGTATTCGACCATTGTTTGGAATACGACTCGCATGCTAGAACCTGTATGGGTCAAAATGATAAAAGATGCCGCCAATGATTTTGTTACAGAGTTTGAGGAATTTGTAGAGGCTGAGGGTTTTGTTCCCCAAGTTTTTAATTATGACAAAACAGGCCTGTTTTGGAAGAAAATGCCAAACAGGACCTATATTACACAAGAGGACACAATGAAGGATAGGCTAACTCTCTTGTTCTGTGCCAATGCAAGTGGGAATTGCAAACTGAAGCCTCTACTGATCTACCACTCTGAAAATCCAAGGGCCTTTAAAAAAAATATAATGCGCAGAAAACTCAGTTACCTGTGATATGGAGGTCAAACAGCAAGGCTTGGGTAACCAGAGAATATTTCAGCGAATGGTTTAATGTTGTGTTTATGCCAAGTGTAAAAAGTTATTTAGACAAAAAAACCTGCCTCTGAAGGCCCTCCTCATAATGAACAATGCTCCGGCTCACCCTCCAAGCTTGCAGGACTATGTGCTGCCGGAGTTTGACTTCATCACTGTAAAGTTTCTCCCCCGTAACATGACTCCTCTCACTCAGCCCATGGATCAGCAGATCATCAGTAATTTCAAGAAACTCTACACTAAAGCATTATTCCAGAGGTGTCTTGAAGCGACCTCTGACACAGAGTTAATCCTGAGAGAGTTTTGGAAAAATCACTTTACTATCACTCACTGCATAACTCTCACTGACAAAGCCTGGCAGGAAGTTTCATACAGAACAATGAACTCTGCTTGGAGGAATTTGTGGCCAGAAGCAGTGGCTACAAAGGACTTTGAGGCTGTGTTTATAGTGAAGGATATTGTCTCTCTGGGCAGGTTCATGAGTCTGGATGTGAGTGATGGTGATGTGGAGGAGTTAGTGGAGGGGCACAGGGAAGAGCTGACCACTGAGGAGCTGCAGGAACTTGAGAAGGAGGAGCACAAGACTAAGATGAATGCATTCTCTTCAGGCTCGGAAGAGGAGATAGAGGAAGCCCCTACTTCATTAATCAAGGAATTATTATTTATTTTTTTTATCATCACACCGGCCGATTCCCACCAAGGCAGGGTGGCCCGAAAAAGAAAAACTTTCACCATCATTCACTCCATCACTGGAAACCTTTGCCAAATGGATGGACATCAAAAACTTTGCAAAGAAGTACCACCCCAACAAAGCCCAAACAAGCCATAATAGCATTGTCTGGGATGACCAGACAATGTCACATTTCCAAAACATCCTGAGGAGAAGGAAGAGGCAAAGTTCTTTGGACAGATTTTTAGTAAAAGTCAAACCAGGTGAGCTTCAACCAGGTCCAAATAGGGAAAAAGAGACAGAAAAGAGAAGGGGACTCTCCTTCCAAACAATAACATTACCTCCTCCTCCCGTCTCAGCACTATCCTAGTAGGTAATTGACTCTTTTCAGCAAAGTGATTTTAATTTTGCATTTATTTATATCTAATTCTTTTGTATTTATGTATGTATTTTAGTATTAAGCAGTTTAAATTATTTTATACACCCCATCAATGTATAATATACTAATAACAATAGGATTTTTTTTCATGGGAATGGATTAATCATTTTCCCTATATTTCTTGCGAGAAAATTCGTTTGGTATACGTCTTGTTTGGTATATGTCCAAGGTCCTGGAACGGATTAAGGACGTATACTGAGGTACCACTGTATATGAATAAGTATATTATATATTAAATCAGTCAATAAGAAGGAAAGAGAACTATCCTGTTTATAAACTACATTATTTGTGCAGTGTAACTATACATACGAATGTACTCAGATGTGTTTGCAGGGTCGAGTCATAGGTCTTTCCCTGAAATTTTATTTAAAGTACAGACTCGAGTGTAACCTGTCTCCATGTATAGGAGGGCCCCGCTTTACAGTGCTTCACTTTATGGCATTTTGCTAATACAGCAGTTTTCAATTATACCCATTCTTCATTTATTCAGACTTCCTACAAGAAATATATTCATCACTCACTATAAGCTACGGACAAAAATATTTTAAAGTAAGTAATGTGTGTACTGTGTATAAACTTTTAAGGCCTAGCTCTACTGCTCACTTTTTATTTTTATTTTATTATCATCACACTGACCGATTCCCACCAAGGCAGGGTGGCCCGAAAAAGAAAAACTTTCACCATCATTCACTCCATCACTGTCTTGCCAGAAGGGTGCTTTACACTACAGTTTTTAAACTTCAACATTAACACCCCTCCTTCAGAGTGCAGGCACTGTACTTCCCATCTCCAGGACTCAAGTCCGGCCTGCCGGTTTCCCTGAATCCCTTCATAAATGTTACTTTGCTCACACTCCAACAGCACGTCAAGTATTAAAAACCATTTGTCTCCATTCACTCCTATCAAACACGCTCACGCATGCCTGCTGGAAGTCCAAGCCCCTCGCACACAAAACCTCCTTTACCCCCTCCCTCCAACCTTTCCTAGGCCGACCCCTACCCCCGCCTTCCTTCCACTACAGACTGATACATTCTTGAAGTCATTCTGTTTCGCTCCATTCTCTATACATGTCCGAACCACCTCAACAACCCTTCCTCAGCCCCCTGGACAACAGTTTTGGTAATCCCGCACCTCCTCCTAACTTCCAAACAACGAATTCTCTGCATTATATTCACACTACACATTGCCCTCAGACATGACATCTCCACTACCTCCAGCCTTCTCCTCGCTGCAACATTCATCACCCATGCTTCACACCCATATAAGAGCATTGGTAAAACTATACTCTCATACATTCCCCTCTTTGCCTCCAAGGACAAAGTTCTTTGTCTCCACAGACTCCTAAGTGCACCGCTCACCCTTTTCCCCTCATCAATTCTAGGATTCACCTCATCTTTCATAGACCCATCCGCTGACACGTCCACTCCCAAATATCTGAATACATTCACCTCCTCCATACTCTCTCCCTCCAATCTGATATTCAATCTTTCATCACCTAATCTTTTTGTTATCCTCATAACCTTACTATTTATTATTATTTTATTATCACACTGGCTGATTCCCACCAAGGCAGGGTGGCCCGAAAAAGAAAAACTTTCACCATCATTCACTCCATCACTGTCTTTCCTGTATTCACTTTTAATTTTCTTCTTTTGCATACCCTACCAAATTCATCCACCAACCTCTGCAATTTCTCTTCAGAATCTCCCAAGAGCACAGTGTCATCAGCAAAGAGCAACTGTGACAACTCCCACTTTATGTGTGATTCTTTATCTTTTAACTCCACGCCTCTTGCCAAGACCCTCGCATTCACTTCTCTTACAACCCCATCTATAAATATATGATAGTGTAAACATATCAGGTTTTTATATGCATCTGAAAGTGGAAAAAAAAAAAGCTATGATTCACTTTACAGTGATTTTTACTTTACAGCAGTAGCCCAGACCCTAACCTGCTGTATAAGTGAGACCCTCCTGTATCCTGCTGTATAAGTGAGACCCTCCTGTATAGGTCAACTCCTGATATTTTACCAAAACTTTTTTAATTTTTTAATATAGCTTATGGATAAGTCTACCCTTGTGTATATGGGACATTAACAGGGGTCAAATGGTTCTAATTTAAAATATACTCAAGCCAAAACTGAGAGAAAAAAAGAGAAATGAAAATGTGACAGTTGATAAATAAAAATACGTGAGCGCACATTCATGTAACTTGAATGGATTAAAAGGTAAGTTAATTCATAACAATAATAATATTGTTGACTTACATAAGGAGCAGAACACATATTTTGAAGGTCTCGAATGTATCTTGATATCATTCTAAGTTTTTCAAAATTAATGAGGCCTTCAACCTTATCATCATTGCCTTCGTGGGTGAATGTCAAGTCCCTGGCAACAACTGGGTAAAATGGAATCTGAAAACAGACAATTTTATGTAGGTATAAAAATAATTGGTTACATTCAGATTGCTAGAAATATAACAGTGATATTCTACTAACATTTTTAATCATTAAACTTTATTCCAATTAGTAGTCACTCACTCACTCTCACACTCGCTCGCACACACACATGCACCCACAGCAACTCACTATTTCAATAAAAGTCTTCCTCATCTTACACATTAAACATGGTTTAAACAACTGGGGAATCTCACGCTAGGTTTAATAAAACCAGTGGTAAAAAAAAAACTGTGCACATATGATTTTATTCACATGGAAGTACTAAGCCCAGATGGATCAGATATACATGTATGAAATCATCCATTCTTTGACCATACAAAATAAAAAAGATATACCAGCCTTCTCTATCAACATACTGATCTATAATGACCATTAGTAACTCCTAAATTCAAGGCATCCTACAGCTTCTTAGTTACACTTAAGCCAAATTTTTAACCCTAAAACTTTACCCAAAAAAAATTAATAAATAAAACTACACACAAAAAGGGGGTTTACACTGTTTTTAAACTTTTTTATTTTTAGAAAGCTAAAAAATTGGGTAGGGAATTTTTAAAGGGGTCAAAGAAAAAATTTAAAGGGGGAAACGAAAAAAAAAGGGGGGATAAAAAGATTGGTATAAAATTAAAACAATTGGGGGGGGAAAAGGTATAGGAGGTAATAACAGATTTTTGGGGATAGTGCGGGGAAATTTTGAAGTGATAATCTAAAAATTATGGGGGGAAAAAAAATGAGGTTATTTTTAATCTGGGGGAAAAAAGCGCCCCGGGAAAAAAGGGGGAATTTGAGATTGCCCAACCCTTTTATTGGTTTAAAAAAGGGGGGGTTTTATAAGTTCCCGGGGGAAAATACGGGGAATTCTTTTTACAATTTTTAATTTATGGAGAATTCTATTTAAGTTGGAATGCGGGATTACCAAAAATTTTCCCCAATAAAAGGGTTTTTAGGGGGGGACATGGGGGAAAATAAACGAAAAAAAAACTTCAAAGTTATACCCTTTGGAAAAGGCTAGGGGGGGGAAGGGGGGTTGGGAATTTAAAGGATTTTTGGGGGGGGTTGGCTTCCACAATTGACTTTTGAAAGTAATAAAAAAGGTTTTTAATCTTGACTCATTAAAAAATTTAAAATTTTAAAAACCCACCCCTTATTATTTGGGAATTTTCATCCTCCTCTAAATTTTAAAATTTTTTTTAAAAACTGATTAAAGCCCCCTTTGCCAAAGTAATTTAAATTTTTAAATTTTTTCTTTTTCCCAATTGCCTTAAAATCCCATGTTTTAAAAAAATAAAAAAAAAATCGTATACCCCTTTTCTTTTCAATACAATGGCTGCTCCCCCAAGGGGGGTGACCCAAAAAAGAAAAAATTAAAATTTTTTCTTGTTTTTGATTCAGAAATTTTATACGGAAAGAGTTTATACCCCCTTCCCCCTGACTACAGCCTTAAAAACACAAATAATCCAAACAAAAAAAGTAAAACGGATATTTAAAAAAAACTTACAATTGGCGATTGAAATTTTTTCGGGAACAAAATTACGATATTTGCTATTTTTTTGGGGGGGCCATCGCTTTGCTTTCATGAAAAATTCGTGATACTTGGAAGGTAGTCTCCCCCAAGTCTGCTTTGTCTGGAGACTGCTCCATGACCCAGCCAGAGGGGATGGCAAACATGGATTTGAAGTTTTGCACCCTTTGCATTGCCCTGAGGAAAAAAGTTTTTATACAGTCAACAAAAATACTTTTTTCTATAACGCAAGGAACAAAGGTGTCAGTGGAACCTCGGTACTCGAAACAGCTCCCTACTCCAACAAAGTCGGCATTTGCCAAAAAACACAACCTGCCAAAGGGTTTACTGTAAAGTATTTATGTTTTCTTCGCATTTTTTTTTTTAGTATTTTTTTTATAAATAAGTCCCTAGGGCCCATGAAGATTAGTGATAACAGCCAACCAAAAAAAAAAAAATTTGGTGGGTAAAATTCATTCGGGTACTCGAATGATCGGCACTGAAAAGCATTCTGGAATGAAAGGTTCCACTGTAAATGAAATAAAGAAAAAAAAAACAAAACCGGGCTGCGTGGTCCCACTGGGCCCAAAAAATTCATAAGCTTCTCTCTCGTATGTGAATGTAAAGGAATAAAAATTTTAAAAGTTATGGAAAGTAAAAATTGTCTAATCTCACGACTTCATTCCCATGAAACATTCTATGGAAAGATTCATGAGAATGACTTCCCTGGTAATGTTTTTTTCATAAAAACAGTTAAAAAATTAGAAATTGTGATTATGGTGGCAGCACCTTCCCTAAGAGTTTGGTCATGGAACATAAGTCATTTGAAGTTAAAGTACAGAGTGGGGAACTGGGAGCCACAAAATTATAATTAAAAAGGGTTTTTTTATTTGTACAAATATTACAAATTTTTTACTTAGTGCCCTGGGGTGCTAAATTAGAGGAAAATCTTAAAATTTTTAATTTAGGGAAATTTAAAACTTTTAATGTCTTTGATAAACTGGAGTTTCCAATAACAACAAAAGCAAATAAATGCATTACGACTAATAAAGCTGCCAGGTAACAAAATGAGGAAGAACCATTAGAATAAATCACTTGACAGTAAACAGGCTTTCAAATGAGCTAATGTCGGTAACAGCTCTTAGCTTGTAAATAAAGTAGAAACCCCAAGTCTAACCTTACAAAACCCCATGTGTAACAAAAAAAAAAAAAAAAAAAAGAGGATGGTTAGTCACCCAAGACATTCATCAAGGACTGTCTCTTATTTCCATTGGGGGTCCTAATATCTTGTCCCTCCAGGATGCGGCCTACAATGTTCTTACTAACCCCCAGGATGCAACCCACAATGCTTTTACTAACCCCCAGGATGCGACTTACAAAGCTCTTACCAACCCCCCAGGCTGCGACCCACAATGCTCTTACTAACCCCCAGGATACGACCCACAATGCTCTTGCTAACTCCCATAATGTGACCCACAATACTCTTACTAACCCCCAGGATGAAACCCACAATGCTCTTACTAACTCCCAGGTACCTACTTGATGCTAGGTGAACAGGGACAGCAGGTGTACGGAAACATGCTGTGTTTCCGTCCATGCCATGAATCAAACGAAGGACACTCAGTGTGTGAGCCTAGTGTGCTACAAACTGAGCCACAGGACACCATTAGACCCACACTACCAGTAAAGCTAGCTCAAGGAGGATATTTTGCAAATTTATTTTGAAAATGAAAATCAAATGGGCGTAATTAAATCATGATTCAACTGAAATAAGATTAAAACAAGAATGCTGCTCCCTTCACTGATGAAAAAAAAAATAATCCAATGTTCCCCAAACTTCGCAGAATGAGAAATAGGAAGCAGAAAGATAAGAGAGGCCTCACACAAAGATCAGGAGATAAAGAACAGAGTATAGTGTTCCCTGGATTATCCAGCCTTAATTTATCCAGAATCACAGTTATCCATTCACTTCTGGATCAGATAATGATCCGTTGGTCATCCACTCATTGTCCAGATGAACTCTTTGCTATCCCCCAAAAGTTATTGCATATGTCTGACCAGCCATCGACAACACAGTTTGGCTCTGCGTTGTGCCAAGATGTGTATCTCTAGCCAAAGGCTGTTGTAATAACAATTAAGTACTGCATTAAAATAAATCTCAATTGCTTTTATTAAATATAGATGACCAGTAGCATACTGATATTGGCAGACCTATGGGTGCTATCAATGACGGCAAGGTGATATCACTGAAGACAAGGTGCTATCAATGACGGCAAGGTGATATCACTGAAGACAAGGTGCTATCAATGACGGCAAGGTGATATCACTGAAGACAAGGTGCTATCATTACTCGGCAAGGTGATATCACTGAAACAATGGTCTATCAATGGCTGCATGGTGATATCACTGAGACAAGGTCTATCAATGACGGCAAAGGTTATCACTGATAAAGTGTATCATGAACAGCAATGTACTATCAATTAGGCTAGTGCTTCAATTAGGCAATGTGTACTATCAATTAAGCCAAGGTGCTATCTAATTAAGGCAAGTGCTATCATTAGGCAATGTGCTATCAATTAGGCAAGTGCATCAATTAAGGTAAGGTTGTATAATATAGGTAAGCACAGTCAGTTAATGGCAATTGCTATCAATTAAGGTAGGTGTTATCAATTAGGAAGGTGATATCATTAAGAAAGGTGCTATCAATTAAGGTAAGGCACTATCAATTAAGGTAAGGTGCTATCAATTAAGGCAAGGTGCTATCAATTAAGGTAAGGCACTATCAGTTAAGGCAAGATGCTATCAATTAAGGTAAGGTGCTATCAATTAAGGTAAGGTGCTATCAATTAAGGTAAGGTGCTATCAGTTAAGGCAAGATGCTATCAATTAAGGTAAGGTGTTATCAATTAAGGTAAGGTGCTATCAATTAAGGTAAGGTGCTATCAGTTAAGGCAAGATGCTATCAATTAAGGTAAGGGTTATCAATTAAGGTAAGGTGTTACCAATTAAGGTAAGGTGCTATGACTGAAGGCAATGTGTTGTACATAAAAAGAAGTTCAAAAATCAAAAATCAAAACTTTATTTCTTTGCTAAGGTTAAAATGTGTGTTAACATTTCACAATCTGATTAATACAAAGACAGCCACTATCGTGCCGAGGCATTTCAGGCAGACTTAACCTAATACTTAATGACTACTTAAGTCTAGACAGGTGAAGAGTGATAGATTACAAATATTCAATATTTTACTCTATTATTTATTTGTAGGAAGTCAGGTGTAGGTAGCCTTGCCTCCCTGTCCCAAACTTAATATACGATATTTAAAGCAGCCGAGAGAGATAAAATGCACATACAGTGCGCTCATTATTTACCTTAAAATATGTGTAGTCTTAGTCTTAATGTAGAATGATAGGTGAGTAGTATTTATTTGTATGAAGTCAGGTGTAGGTAGCCAGTAGATGTAGCCCACCTGGACTACACCTACCTACATAGCTATACGATATTTAATGCGGCCCAGAGCCATATTACAGTGGACCCTTGGTTTTCGTGATTAATCCGTTCCAGAGAGTCTGCCAAAAACCAAAATTCACAAAAACTGAAACCGTTTTCCCCATAAGAAATAATGTAAATCCAATTAATCCGTATCAGACACCCGAAAGCATTAACAAAAAATAATTTTTTTAGAGATTAAATATAGATTTACATACAGAAAAGAATGACAAATCAATATAAAGCAATAATAACATCACACTTACCTTTACTGAAAACAGGAGGAGGGGAAAGGGAGAAGTTACTACTGTTTGGAAGGGGAATCCCCTTCCATAAAGACTGTAGAGTACAGAGTCCTTATCCGGGGTTACTTCCCTTCTTTGGTTTTTAATGGCACTAGGACCAGCTTGAGAGTCACTGGACCCCTGTCACTCAAAAAATTGTTCCAGAGAGCACTGTTTCTGGCATCTCTTTAAGATTTGCCTAAAATGAGACAAGGTATTGTCGTTGAACATGTCGCAGACAAGGCCTACAACAGCTTTGTTAGGGTGATGTTTCTCCACAAACGTTTGCCCCTCACCCCACTTTGCACAAATGTCCTTAATCTTTGAAGAAGGCACCTTCTTCCCTCTCTCTTCCTCCTCCTGTGAAGCAATTTCCTCAGCTGTGGTCTGTTGCTGTTACAGATGAAGCTCTTGCAGCTCTTCAGTGGTTAGCTCTTCACTGTGGTCTTCCACCGACTCTTCCACATCCTGGCCACTCACATCCAACCCCATGGAATTCCCCAATGCCACAATACATTCCACAACAGGCTTATTTAGGAGTTGCAAGCACAAAAAACAATGGATTATTACGAAAAGTTTCGCATGAACGCTGGGGATGATGCTCACCAGACTGACCCTTGAATGCGTCTGTGGAAGGCTTTGTGTGCACAGAGCCACTGTGACACATACCGTATGACCGCCAAAATCCAAGGGAAATCACGAAAACCAAGGCTATTTTGATGAAAAATGTTGCTGATAACCAAAATTATGAAAACTGAGACTCACGAAAACCAAGGGTCCACTGTATTACCATCAACATACCTTGTTCACTGAGTTTAATCGTTTCTAGCAACTACTTTTAGATGCCATCATAAATGATAATAATTCATGCCGAGAATTGTAAACAAAAACAGAATGCATCAAGGGGAGTGACTGGGCTAAACGCAGATTCATACACGTTTTCTCTGGTGCTGGACCAGAGAAAACGTAATGTTTTCCCTCCACCTGGCTACCACACCTCCATAGCATATAAGCATAGCATATTTATATGCTATATAATGTGTTTCTTATATAATTTTGAAGAAAATATCATATATGAATTAATGAAAATGTCTATATTAACTTAAAATAGGATATTTAATGTGCCCAAGAGTGATTATTATTATGTGTTAGTATTATTACTATGGCATTAAGACTAGAGGGACACTCTTAGTGATTTTAATGTGTACCTGCACGCCAGCACAGTGTGTAAGTATATTTAGGTACAGGTACACATAAGTATAATTATCAGAGTACATATAAAATATGCAAAAACTTTAA